ATGCCTACTTTATTGCTCATCTGCCTATTGTCATGTGGACTTGCGACTGTGACCAGCCAAGGTAAGTAATGAGACGGACTCTGTGTGACGTTCAGTGTTTATAGTGCTTACAGAATATTCGCTTTGACCAATATGTACTCGAGATCTTATGGTCATCATCCTAATACCTTGCTGTGTTTACTTTCCAAACTATTTCGTGCTACCGTTCTAGTCTGGATGCATCAGCCACAAGAAACTTTCTACAGCCAGAGAAAGTTCTATATAATTATCTGTATTGAATCCCATCATTTCTACGCTGGTTATTTGTAGCTGCTCCTTTCATTTCTTTAGTTGTCTAAAAAGAGTCTTTTTTTTTTTTTTTTGGGTGTTGTGAGATTCCAGCTTCCTATTGGCCATTAAGTGAAAGACTATTTTATTGTGTATTTCAGCAAAAAAAATTATTTCTTGCGCTTTATGATATGTTGATGCAAAGTTTGTAGTAAAGAAAAAAAAATAGGAACAGCTAAACATGCCAAGCAATTCATTGTTGACATTCACAACTGCAAAAGATAGTCTGGAAAAAAAAAAAATGATGAGTGTGTTTCACTGCTTGACAAACCTGTTTTATGAATGCTATGCTGGCGTCCAAGATTTGGCAGCTGGGATATCTCATCTGAAACATAACAGACAATGACAAAAATAATTATAGATTTCTAATTACATGACGAAGACCGTACACCTGTCATGAACAGTTATAGGAAACAAAATATTGCCACAAAAACTGATGTAAAAGTAAAGTAAAGATCCCTTTTTACGCCTTAGGCACATCGGGTATATGGGAAGAGCCTCCCATATTTTTACAGACCACTCGACACTGGATGGGTAAAGTGGTCAGCATTACGCCGGCCGTCTTTACTTTTCCAGGACAGCCATCCTGATGATTTGCAACAAAATGAAAAGATGTGTATGATAGATGTGTTTAGGGTCTCCATTTGACAAATATAGCTTCAAAAACAATGAGGCATTTAAAATTTACGAAGGAAATAGCCGAGGAAGGACATACAGTCAACAACATTGGATTTGCAGGTGTTAAGTGTTGGCCGCAACATTTAGTAGATACAGTAGGAGTGCACACTGAGACGGATCTGGATAGCTTGTGAAACAAAGACAGCTGTGCAATAGCTGATCAATGAATTTCACGTCTAGGTGAAATTATTATTTACACAAACAGATCGGTAGTGATGGGTAAAACTAGTAGGTGGGGTTTTATTGTATTGGTGAATGGACTGTTTGAAAACAAAAAAGCCTACCATATAATGTCACAACATGCATTATTCGAATGGTCCAGGCGGTAACGGCAGCTTTCTGATTGCTTGAAAGACGGACAGTCCGACATGTTGTAATTGTAACAGACTCATGGAGCATGCTTCGGAAATGGGAAACTGACGTTCTACACATGGAGTGGCTTTCATCGCTTGGTAAGACTCCGAGAAAATCTAGTGTGTGGACAAAGGTGCAGGCTGATTGATTCCCCGATCATCTGCTGACGATACTCTGGGAGGTGACTTTCTTTATGATAAAGCGGACGTAGTTAAAGCTCTCTTGGAAGAGTCAGAGTACACATAGCTTGAGAGGCTATGAGCACGGCTACAGCATCATCGCACTTTTGTGAAATATAACGGTTTTCAGAACAGCTCCAAACATTCTCACCCTTGTTGAATAAATGAAGGGTTATCGAACTGATTCCCTTCACACAATTCTTGAATAATATAAGAGTTATCGAACTGACTCCATTCTCACCCTTGTTGAAAAAATTAAGGGTTAGCGAACTGATTCTTGAATAATATAAGAGTTATCGAACTGACTCCATTTTCACCCTTGTTGAATAATATAAGGGTTATCGAACTGGCTCCAACATTCTCACTATTGTTGAATAATATAAGTTTTATGGAACTGACTCCAACATTCTCTTCTTCTTAAAGTCCATCCCGAATGGCATTCGTAGTCATGTCTATCCACAACCTTCTATCTCATGTACTTTCACTCAACTCTGATACAAATTATCCACCATGCCATATCAAAGTGTCCAGTATCTTTTCTCTCCGTCTTTTCTGCCTCTCCCCCTCCCCCGCCCCCTCCTCTTTTCCAACTTTTCTACGTCACGATGTACGCCAGTTGTCTTGTTCTCGTCACATGATCAAAGAATGCAGATTCCCTCTTTAAAATGTAGGCAATCAGTTCTCTTCATGAGTCAGTTTCTTTCCAGACATCTTCATTACTCTTTTTTCTGTCCAGGGTATTCTCATCATTTGCCTATAAAACAACATTTCCACAGCTTCAAAAAAAAAGTTTTCACTAATCAATGGTCCATGATAACATTCTCACAATTTTAAAATAATGTAAGGGTTATCGAACTTACTCCAACATTCTCACAACTGTTGAATAATAAAAGGGTTATCCAACTGATTCCATTCTCACCATTGTTGAATAATATAAAGGGTCTCGAGCAGACTCCATTCTCACCATTATTGAATAATATAAGGGTTGTGGAACTGAGTGCAACATTCTACTCTTCTTGAAAAATATCAGGATTATCGATGTGAATCCAACATTCTCACCATTGTTGAATAATGCAATGGTTATCGAACTGACTCCCGCATTCTCACCATTGTCGAATAATGTAAAGGTATTTGAAGTGACTCCAACATTCTTCTCTCCCACGGGACCTTCTCCCCTTGCTGGAGTTTGCCATAAAATACTCTCTTTGGGGGGGGGGGGGGGATAGCCTGGCATGCGGGTTAGGTGACCAGCCCAAAGCGGCTGATGATTCCTTTTTTTTTTTTTTTTTTATTGTGTTTTTTTTTTTCTTTTTAAATATTGGTTGAATAATAAAAGGGTTATCGAACTGACTCCATTGTCACCATATTTGAATAATATAAGCGTTATCGAGCTGACTTCAACATCCTTACCATTGATAAATAATAATACTTTTATCGTACTGACGTCAACATTCTCCCAACTGTTGAATAATATAAGTTTTTCAATATTTTCATGTGTTATGTACATGAAATGGGTTATGAGGCTGGTTCCAGTGCCCTCATCACTTTGAGATAATAAATTGTTGTCGGACGGATTCCATGTTTCTCCACGAGCTGAGCTCATGGCTTGGGCTACTGGCGTGCCTTCAGCTGTGCCTGATCAAACGAATGTCACCATCTCTTGTATGGACTATCCAGTGCAGTGGTTCACAAACAGATTGATTTGCTCAGCTTTTTTTTTTTTTTTTAAAGAATCAATGTCTATGACTGAACCCCTTAGCATGGTTATTCAACTTAATAATAATCAAGTTTAATAACTTTACCAAGGGGCCACAATTGGGAAATAAAGATCGTCATGAGCCAGAGACTCGAGTGATGGCATAGAAAGATGGTCATGAGCCAGAGACTCGAGTGATGGCATAGAAAGATGGTCATGAGCCAGAGACTCGAGTGATGGCATAGAAAGATGGTCATGAGCCAGAGACTCGAGTGATGGCATAGAAAGATGGTCATGAGCCAGAGACTCGAGTGATGGCATAGAAAGATGGTCATGAGCCAGAGACTCGAGTGATGGCATAGAAAGATGGTCATGAGCCAGAGACTCGAGTGATGGCATAGAAAGATGGTCATGAGCCAGAGACTCGAGTGATGGCATAGAAAGATGGTCATGAGCCAGAGACTCGAGTGATGGCATAGAAAGATGGTCATGAGCCAGAGACTCGAGTGATGGCATAGAAAGATGGTCATGAGCCAGAGACTCGAGTGATGGCATAGAAAGATGGTCATGAGCCAGAGACTCGAGTGATGGCATAGAAAGATGGTCATGAGCCAGAGACTCGAGTGATGGCATAGAAAGATGGTCATGAGCCAGAGACTCGAGTGATGGCATAGAAAGATCATGAATATAACACAACTAGGAACGATCCGCTGGCCATTTGCTAGGCCTCTGCGGGCCAGATGTGGCACGCAGGCCGCCTGTTGAATAACCCTGTCTCCTTAGGCTTATCCTTTCCTACGTACCACAAATTAATGTTGTTTAAAAGTAATGCTGCGGAGCGATGGCAGAAGGTGTAGCTAGTAAAGAAATGAAAAGAAAATAATTCAACTTGGCAAAAAAAAACTTTTCAAAATGTACTTGACTGTTGCTTTGTTGTTGTTTCCAACTTTTTCGTTTCTTATTCTTTAATTTAATTCGGTTTGTATTTATTTTCTTTGATTTGTTACGAAGCCTTGGTAAGCGGACGGAAAACCCCTAAAGGTCTGCCGAGCACTAGATGGGAACAGTGGATCTAATGAGTGTTCATCAGGTTGGACGCGTGCCACCACATTAAAAACAGTAACCAGGAAATGTCTAGGAAGTAAAGATGGCCCGTCTGATGCTGACCGCACCACTCATTGAGTGACTATTTGTTGTTACAAGTGCCTAAGCACCAGTGGCGTGAAAACTGTTCTTTTCATACGTACATACATACACACAAATCAGTGTACGACCCTTAGTCGGAAATCCCACATAGGATCCCGCCCATCTAGTTTGAGTATGGAGGTTAAGGTAGTCAATGCGGCCTTTTCCTAGCTTGAAAACCAGCTGCAACACATGTGACCTAAACACAAGCTGCATACATATGTGAGTAAAACAAAAGCTGCATACACATATGACTAAAACACAAACACAAAGCATGCATTATAAGTTTGAGATAAGTATGCTTACACAGTGTGGCAAACAACGTTTCAGCGTCTTGCGATATGTTTTCCCTAGTATGCCGATATACTTGAAAATGAATCGGCAAACATACTACATGGTTCTGCACCACCTCCTGGTAAACTGGTGCATTACAAAATAGATGTGGTCAAAGACTGAGTGAACAGTTCGTAGGCACAAATAGACCATCACCATCTGAAAGTAACGATGCTGCCACTCAAAACCTGGAGAAAGGGCAAGACCTATTTTAGGTATGGCAATGGATCGTTTTGTTTCGTTTATTTTGCTATACATTTTCGTCGGTATCTATAGACGCGATTGCGACCCGAAAATTTGAAAACCAAT